ATGTAACTCAAATCCTGGAGGTTGTTCTACATACACTTCTTCCTCTAGGTTTCCGTTGAGAAATGCGCTTTTGACGTCCATTTGATAGACTTTGAAGTCCTTATGAGTAGCAAAGGCTAGAAACAGCCTTATAGCTTCAAGTCTAGCAACTGGAGCGAAGGTTTCATCAAAATCTATACCTTCTTCTTGACAGTATCCTTTTGCAACTAACCGGGCCTTGTTTCTGACAACAACGCCGTTTTCATCCATCTTGTTCCGGAAGACCCACTTTGTCCCAATGACATGTTGATGAGTAGGTCTGGGAACAAGTTTCCAGACATCATTTCTGGAAAACTGGTTGAGTTCTTCTTGCATTGCATTGATCCAATCAGAATCAGCTAGAGCTTCTTCAATATTCTTTGGTTCCACTTGTGAGATGAAACAAGCAAGCATAGCTTCTAGATTCTGTTGGGCACTCCTTGTGCAAACATCAGATTGAATATCTCCAATGATCTATTGAGGAGGCTGATCCCTTAACCAACGAAGATTGTGTTGATTTGGATTGACTGGTTGATCTAGTTCAGCTTCTGGTTGAAGAACAGAAGTTGTTGGTGTTTCCGGATGGATTGGCACTGAGTAGCCATTTCCGGAATTGTCGCCGTTTGAGATATCCGGAATATTGGAAGGCTGGTCAAAATTTCCGGAGGGCTCAACACTGTCTGAATCCGGATTCCTCTGTGAAATCTTCAGAGGCAGACTTCTGAATGGAATGAATTCCGTGGGCTTCATTCTATCTCCTTTATTGACTTCTTCATCCTTGTCCGATAGATCCAGAACCTCATGATCAAGCTTTGATGGTTTGTCAACCACATGTTTTCATCAAAAATAACATGTATTGACTCTTCAGTGATCATGGTTCTTTTGTTGAAGACTCTGAACGCCTTGCTTACCATGGAATATCCTAGGAAGATGGCCTCATCTGATTTCTCATCAAAACTGTTCAGATGATTCTTCCCGTTGTTTAACACAAAGCACTTGCTCCCAAAAATATGGAAATATGATATATTAGGCTTTCTCTCGTTCCACAGTTCATAGGGAGTTTTGTTGTGCCTTTTATAAATCATACTCCTATTTTGAGCGTAGCAGGCTGTGTTAATTGCTTCAGCCCAGAACCTCTTTGGTAAGGAAGCTTCTGCTAGCATGGTTCTCACTGCTTCCTTCAGAGTTCTGTTCCTTCTTTCAGCTACACCATTCTGTTGAGGTGTCCTTGCTGCAGATGTCTGATGAAAAATTCCGTTTTCTTCACAGTAGTGAATGATGATTTCAGTCAGGAATTCTGTGCCTTTGTCAGATCTGATTTTCTGAATGGTCTGACTTGCTTGGTTTTGAATCAGCTTCATGCAGTTGGTGAGTTTCCCTTGAGTCTCCTTCTTGCCGTTGAGGAAGATTGTCCATGTGTATCTTGAGTAATCATCAACTACCACGAGGACATATTTCTTTCCACTTAGACTTATTGGTGTAACAGGGCCAAATAAGTCCATGTGAATAAGACTTAATATCCTTGTAGTTGAGGGTGCCGATTTTGCCTTGAAGGTGGACTTGACTTGCTTTCCTTTTTGGCAAGCATCACAAATACTTTCCTTTCTGAATGCAGCTTTGGGAAGACCTTCTACTAACCCTTCTTTGGACAACTTGTTGAGAGTTTTGAAGTTGAGATGACTCAACCTCTTATGCCAAAGCCATAGAAGGTTAGTGTCACCTTTGCTGATTAGACATGCTTCCTTGACAT